ATCATACGCATTAGAATGCATTTTTTTTATACTTTTAGATTAGAATCACACAGCTTTACCTCTTGGCTGACTTGACTCAGCATAATGATTCTGAAAACAATTTGTTGTTGTAAGAATCAATAGTTCATTCACCTTTATTACAGTGTATGTTTTCATTACGTGGAACAACGTAAGTTCTTTTGTGATCCACCTGTTGTTAAACAGGAATTCTGCTTCCAGTATTTGGTTATCACAACGTAAGTTATTGGGAACATCCATATGCAACTTTTTGTATAGACACTGTTTTCATTGTGGGGATGGAGGGGGCATAAGAAAAGTGACTATGACAGTTCTATATTAAACTTCTTTTTAATTAAATGTTTTTCTTATTTTTTTGCTTTTTGGGTCACGCCCAGTGATGCTCAGCGGTTACTCCTGGCTCTGCACTCAGGAATTACTCTTGGTGGTGCTCGGGGATCATATGGGATGCTGGGAACCGAACCCGGGTCAGCTGTGTGCAAGGCAAACATTCTACCCGCTGTGGTATCGCTCCGATCCACTATACTAATCTTCTTAAGGCCAGAGATAGTCCAGGCTTAAGGAGCGTATCTGCATGTGGCTAACCCCAGTTCAGTCTCTGGCAAGGTTTTCCGTGCCCTCAGCACAACCGGGAGTGACTGGGCAGTGACAGGAGCAGTTCCTAGGCACTGTAGCGTGTGGACCCCTTGCCCCAATCCACCCACCCACTCAAAAAAAGGAACATGGAGACGGTTGAAGTTTCCAAGACATTGAACTATCATTTGAGATTCCCACTTTCACCTACTAGCAACTGTAGCTTAAAAGCTCTGGTGGCCCCAAGCCCTGAGCCCAGGGGTTTGCAAGCATGCTTTTGCCTGGGGCCCTCCTTCCAGGCTGCTTCCTTCCTGTGGTGCCCATCCTACCCGTAGCCCCTAGTCTCATACTGCAACGTCCTCACACGCACACATACTTTATATGACTATCACCCTGACCCCCTGGAATATTCTGGGCACCCACGGAATGGATCCCAGCTGAGAAGTACCGTAATAGATGAGTAGTAGTATCACTTATTAATTTTAATCTGCATTTTCCTCATGACTAATGATGTTGAAACCTTGGTATGCCTCTGATGACTAATAATTTCATGTTCTTATATGAAATCTTTCAACTATGCATCTTCTTCGGTATGATCTTCAAAACTTTGCCCATTTTTGGAGGTCACTTGTTGGTTTCTTCCTACTGAGTTTTGAAAAGTCTTTATATATTCTGGATAAAAGTTTTTTTTAATTAGTTACATAGTTTGCAAATATGCCTCCTAGAGTTTTACTCTTCCTTTCATTCTCTCAATAAAGATGAGAGTAAATACTTTAAATTCTGATATCATAGTAATGTCAGATTCTGAAAGAGTAGGGAAATATCTCCCTTTTCTATTTTCTTCCAGTGTTTGATAACCAATTGCTTTTATTTCTTCCTTACATTTTTTGAGTTTCCAAGTGCAGCAGTATGGCCCTACAGTTCCTATGTGAGACATTTTATATCTTTAGTTTTATTTTACAATTTCTTTCGGTATGCAGAACCATTTAAGCATACTAACATTCCCTTCCCAACTTTGGTACTTCAGTTTAAAATGTAATTTTGATACTAATGTTCCAAGAACCCAATGCCACTCTAGCACCTCCAGCGCAGTGGTGTCAGATCTCTGTGGAACATTTTAAACTATATACCCACCATTTTACACACTACACTTGATCTTAGCTAAAAGGCCGAGAAGCTGTGCTGGGCTGGAGCGATAGCACAGTGGTAGGACATTTGCCTTGCACGCAGCCCACATGACCGACCCGAGTTCGATTCCTCCGCCGCTCTCGGAGAGCCCGGCAAGCTACCGAGAGTATCTCGCCCGCAAGGCAGAGCCTGGCAAGCTCCCCATGACGTATTCGATATGCCAGACACAGTAACAACAAAGTCTCCAATGGAGATGTTACTGGGCCCGCTCGAGCAAATCGAAGATCAATGGGAGGGCCTTTACTTTTACTTTACTTTTTACCCACCATTTTAAACCTCAAACCTAAACAATGTTTAGTCACGGAGTAGAAACAGAAAATACACATTCTTTTCACATTTCCCCAGAATATATACAAAATAAACCATATGGAAAACCACAACAAATCTCAGAAACTTCTGAAAAATCAAATCAACAGCAAAAAACTAAACCCTTACGTTAGCCATAAACATAACCCTAATCTTAAACCTAACCTCAGGAATAGTTATTCTCACTCCATCATTTACCAGTTTGAAAGTTATGTGTTTTTATAGAAAGTAATCTCCATAAAACTGTGTTTTTAAAAATACTGAAAGTCTTAAATTGGTGAGAAGCAAAAAATTTTTAAAAAATTATTTGGACCTTAGTTAAATAATGACCAAGAGGAAATGCATATTTCCAGCCTCTGATTCCTAAGACAGCCAAGACCATGCTTGCTATAATATACTGAAAAAGATACAGGAATGAGATAGAATGAAAGATATGGGGAAAGTAATTATCAGAACCAAAGAAAAAGTTTGTATAATAGGTATAGAAACAAAACCAGAGGAAAAAACAACTTAAGTAGCACTGTAGCACTGTCCTACTGTTGTTCATTGATTTGCTCAAGCTGGCACCAGTAACGTCTCCATTGTGCTACTTGTTGTTACTGTTTTTGGCATATCAAATACGCCACAGGGAGCTTGCCAGGCTCTGTTGTGTAGGCAGGATACTCTCGGTAGCTTGCCGGGCCCTCTATGAGGGACGGAGGAATCAAACTCAGGTCGGCCTTGTGCCAGGCAAACGCCCTACCCGCTGTGCTATCGCTCCAACAACTTAAGTTTGAAAAAAAAAAAGAAAAGAAAACCCTTCTTGGAAGTCATTGTATTTAACTCTTCTCCTCCCACAAAACTTTTATTTTACATTTCCAGTTGGTAATCTTAATTGCTAATCCACAGACTATAAAAGAAAAGCCGAACGAGTCCAGCAGTAGAATAGTTGCATGCAGGTGTGAGGTCCAGGGTTCGACCCTTGGAACAGCTAACACAAACAAGCAAGGCTAAACTTAAATTTCCTATATTACTGACATTACTCTGTAAATCAGGCTAAAGACCTTATGATAACCCATGGGACGATGTTTAAGACATAGCTGCCCCACAATTAATTTTACAGAACCTCCAGTAAATCCCTTTATAGCAATGTGCCAATATGTTACGCAATGATTGCATGTCAATGACAAGTACATGCCATGCAGACACTGAATCTCTATTAACGTTACGAAATTTGAAAGAAGAAAAACCCTTGGCGATGCTCACGGAGTACAAGCAGCTTTATATTCTCTGAGTCACGTCCAGGGTAGTGATTCTACTGTCGGGAGAATGAGAGAGATATCTCTGCCCTCACTACTAGTCACTGGCTCACACTCTTGGCACACCGTTTGGAAGTGCTCAACTTTTCACACGCATCTGTCTGATCTGAACGGCTCCCTCCGGGCAACTATGATACCTTCGATACAATACCTCTCATGTAAGAAATGTTTATTACATATTAATTGACTCCCGTTAACTATCTGAGTAATGCCACCAACACACACATCCTCCCTTCAAAAACATCACTGCCATCTTGCTGGACACTGAAACTCTCGTACATCAGAATTTTCTGGAAATTTAGAGACACACGAACAAAACAATACAATAGAATCTACATAAAATATTTAGACCCAAGCATTAGAGAATAAAATTGAAGAATTTTATTTTATTTAGGTGGAACTTAATTCCAATCAAAGATCTTCAAACACGGGGTCTTACACTCTGTTTACATTTCTGCCCTTGGATTAGGAAACAACAACAGAACAACGACATTGAGCACCTGTCCCCCAAATCTGCTTCCCCAGGCTTAGAATTTTCCCTGTAATCAATCAATAGTCACCTCCACATCTATTATGAGGCCCCTATGACTTAGTAGTTCATTCTTACAATGGTTCTTGAACTTTTCACATGCATTACGATATCCTTAAGGATTTATTAGAACACACATTGCTGGGCTGCACCAGCAGTTCTGTTCTTCAGTATGTCAAGTGGGAGCTGAAGTCTCAGCATCGCTACCGTGTTCCCGGGTGATGCGGATAATGGTTTCTAGGACGCCACACGCTGCAAGCTGTAACTACCATCAGAGCCTCCTGTAATTCTGCCAGGTTCATTATGCCTGATCATTTCGTTTGAATTAGTTCTGAATACCGATTCTTCCCGGAGACGAGTGTGGCTTCTTGGTTTACTACTTTTCGAAAAAGGTGATTGGTCAAAGGGTGTGTACGAGTGTCCTGGGAGAAACAATGAAAGAGTGAGGAACTTTTTCAGCTCCAAAATGCCACCGCAGTGACTGAGATCAGAAGAAGCTCTGCCCCCGGCCAGCACAAGCCAGTCGCTCCTTCTGGAACACCCGGTGAGACGAACAGGGCTGCGCGTGCCCCTCTCCTGCTCTCCCTTGGTTAGCTTCCACCTGTATTTCAGGTCTCCGGTCAGGATTCCTGTACAGGAAAAACCGTCTCCTTCCACGTTCCCACCCCACAGACTTCCGAGTCACTGAATCCTGTCCTTCAGAGCCTCATCACAGTGGCAATGCTCACAGTTGCTTACATAAATTTGCTATGTTGGCAGTGCCAGGAACCAGACCCAGAACCTTATGCATGCAAAGTAAAATGCTCGACTGCGGAGCCGCCACCTCCACAGCTATAAATATTTTAATAATATCTATTTTCTACACCAAAGGCAAGCGCCAAACAGATGGGGAGCATCTCCTATTTGATTGCTAGTCTATGTCTCATGCCTGTCATAGTCTTAGGCACACAAAAGGTGTACAAATGAAAGTAAGACCGGAACTTTTTGAGCTAAGATAAGACGAGATAAATTCTTTCTTTTTTGTTCTTCACTCTGCTGTGTTAACTGCTTTCCGTATCCAGCAACTCCTCAAAATACAACAGACTTACCTTTCCTGAATAGTTCTTGGAGACTTTCGGCGCTCTGATTCAGAACAGCCCATATTTCCTCCTCCTGCAGTGGTCCACCCCGCACCTCCAGGGCCTCAGCTAGTGAGACGTGCATATTATCTAAAAACAAAGACAGCAACAGATGGTCTCATACATCAGTAATTTTACTGCACTTAGAATAGCAAAAGTAGCACATCAGTGAGGAGAGGCTAGGAGGCCCAGTGACTTAATTTTTAAATATGGTTTCAATCCAAACATGAGCTTCTAATATTAAAGGAATTAGAGGGAAAAACACCTTCAAACAACCACTTGCCCTAGCCGAGCAAGATCCATCTCAGACAAATCGAAGAATTGGGTGGTGAGCATGTAATGGGACAAGACAGTGTCTTATGGTACCAACGGCACAGGAGTGAGGATGACGAAGCCCTAGGACAGACTGAGCTCAAGGCCTTTCAGCTTCCAGTTCCAGGTTCATTTTATCTACCCCAGGTAAGAACAGAGAGAAGACTTCAGCTCCACAGAAGTTGGGAAGAAGACAGAAAATCCTTCTTCCACTTATTGACTGGTTTCTCTATCTCTAACACACACAACTGCACATTTTACATGAAATCCGTCAAACTCTGCATCTGGGTTTGCTGCAACTCGCCATCTGCCTTTAAGCAAGTCACCTGACCTGTCAACTTCAGTTCCCCATCTATGACATGGGGACCACCGCAATGATGACGCTGCCATTTGGGGACGACAGTGACAAGGAATGAGTATGGCCTCGAAAGCTTTAAGGTGGAAGAACGAATACCCAAAGGAATGGAAACAAAGAACACGAGAACGGGTATCAGAAGGACACATGCCACTTGAGGGTGTGGGGGACAGGACAGGCAGGGGGCAACGTCTAGGGTGGGGGCCGAAGGTGGTGCTATAAGGTGGTAAAGGTTATCTGTGGAACCCTGTCGACGTTAATGCAAGTCACACTGCAGGAAATGCATTTTTTTTTCAAAGTGCCTCTCATAAAAGCAGAGTGGAAAGAAATGGGGGGTCAGGGAAGTGGACTTGGGGGGCGGGAAGTGGACACCGGTGAAGGGGTTGTTGTCGAAACGTTGTATGCCTGGAACCCAACCATGAATAACTTTGGAACTTCACAGTAACTAAAAAGCCTTGAGAACTTTAAAAACCCAAAGCTTTCAGGAAGGAAAACCTCAGAAAGGAGCGTCGGGTGACATTCTGGAGTCCGTTTTTCAATGGTCTCCAACTGAGTAGGTGATTCACATACTGAAACATTTTAAGGCTGGCTAGGGAGCTCAATAATTTCATTTTGGAAAGGAAAAATACAGCTTGTCAAAAATTCATCCATGTAGCTTAAATTGACACTCCTTGAAACGAAAAGCGCCCTTTCCATGGATGACCAAGCTTCCGAGAGAAACCAGACCATCTGAAGCACAGGTGGGATGCATGAGCTCTGGACGGCGGAAGCACGTGGGCTTCAGGAAAAAAAGGATGACTCGAGTAAAAAATGCTCAATAATTGTTTCCTGGAATAATCGATCACGATCACGACCATCCTGTTGTTCGTCGACTGCCTCGAGCAGGCCCCAGTAACGTCTCCTTCGTCCTAGACCTGAGACTTTTTTAAAAAGTGCCATATTCAAGGCTCTTTCAGGGTTAGGAGAATGAGACCCATCATTGTTACTGGTATTTGGCATATTGGGTCCACCACAGGGAGTTTGCTAGACTCTGCCATGTGGGCAGGTTACATTCGGTAGCCTGCCAGTTTGTCCAAAGTAAGAAATAATAAGATGTCGCATCCTGGAATAATATTCCTTATTAAAATTCACCGAGGGTATCTTCCCACACAGCAAAGCCTGGCAAGCTCCCCGTGATGTATTCGATATGCCAAACACAGTAACAAGAAGTCTTACAATGGAGACATTACTGGGCTCGCTTGAGCAAATCGATGAACAACGGGGGGACAGTACTACAGTGCAGTGCTATTAAAATTTAAAATTAACCAACAAAAACATGCTTTTTATGCTTTTAGATGAAAGTTGGCTTTGTTCACCCAATGAACAGCTAATATTTTCTTTTAATTGATCATTAAGGTACTTTCAGACAAAAAGGGAACTCTGCCTACATATAGGGTGTACTTTTTTCTTGCACTTTTCTTTTCAAATGTTTACTACAACCTCTACTGCTTCGAGTGGGCCTTAAAGGGTATCTATTTAAATATGTAACATTAAAAGGGGAAATGAAAAAAAAATCGTGCGTTGAAAAATCCATGTCTTTTCCTTAGTTGTGTGTGTGAGTGTGTGTGTGTGTGTCTGTCTGTCTGTCTGTCTGTCTATCTGTTGTTTTTCTCTGTGTGTGTAAGTGGTCCACAGTGCTCAGGGCTTATTCCTGGCTCTGTGCTCAGGGATCACTCCTGGAAGGCTTAGGGGACCCTGCTTGGTGCTGGGATTAAACCTGGTTTAGCAGCTCGCCAGGCAAACACCTTGTTCACTGGACTGTCTCCCTGGGCTGGGACCCGTCCTTCTTTAGTTTGTCCCAAAGTGTGCTATTTGCCCAGACCTCTCTCCCGCCACCAGACTCAGTTTCTCATGTGTATACTTCATTATATGATTGCACACTAAAGGAGAGGATGAAGTTTCAATCCTTTTTAAGAGATAGAAGCGCTGCCTTCTACTTAAAACACTATAATAAATTGGAACTTTCACCAAAGGCAATAAGATACCACCCAAGCAATCAGATACCAATGTAACTTGTGAGAAAGGCTATCCAGTGGCAAACTCCCAAAATAATATGTGTGAGAACCGGTTAGGTATCTCTAACCTCCAGAGTATCAGGAGCGGAGAGAAAATTGCTTCAGAGGCTGGTGCTGATTCTGTGTGGGAAGGTGCCTTTGCTTCCCCTCAAGGCAATGAAAGAGGCTGCGTGGAGACTCCTTGATCTGCCGGGGAGTTAGAATTGGGGGATCTAAAGGCTTTGATTATCACTCCAAGTATACGAGACACCTGGGGTGTGAAAACTTCTGTCTTAGGTGCCAGTTACTCTCAAAGGGGGAGGCGAGGAAAAAAGGCCAGAAGTAGGTCACTGCTTGGGGCTGGATGAAAGAAATCCTACCCGCATGCCGCTAATGGTCCAAAAAGTACATTTTAAAGGGATGAATTTTAGAGCATGTAAAACTGATGCCAATAAAGTTGAAAAAAATTCTACCTATAGGACCACCCGAGATTCCCAGAGAGCTTCAAGAAAGAAGGCTGAGGGGACGATCTTAAACTGGAAGAAGAGGGAGCAGGGAAGAGTCGGGGAGGGGAGAGGCTTAGGAAGAGATGGAAGAAAAAGAATTCCTAGAAGAGAAACGCTTTTGAAGATGCGCGAATAATTATTTCAGTGAAGGACTCTGTCGAACAGGAGAAAAGTACATCCAAGACAAAGGGTCAGCCTCAAGCACAAATCAAACTTACAAAGAGTGAAGTCATTTTACAACAGGAGTCAGGTAAAAACTTGTTTGCCTCTTGATCTTTCTTCCTGTCCCTAGTTTCAAGCCTCACGGGGTCAGATACAGCAACTTGAAAGCAGATGAGTGGATGAGGGCACAGCAACAAAAAGAGACAGACGCCAAACAGCCACAGCACAGCCGCACCCCAGGTCACCCCGGGAAAGGAGGGGGCTGGCTGCTGCTTTTCATTTTGAATGAGAAAACGGCAATGCTGATTAATATATGAGAGGACTTAAACTTATGAAATAAGTTTCAAAACTTTAACAAAAGGAAGTTCATGCCTTTTTTTTTAATTAAAAAGCTTTAAGATGTGGTATCTTAGCTATTTATAATGTTTGTGAAAATCGTTTGGGTAAAGTGACAGACTGGTTTCAATTGAAATAATACTGGAAAAGGGCTGCTATGTTGAATAATGAAATTGGCTGTTTTCCACGTAAGTCCCTGTAAGTATCAAAGGGCATGGAGTGATTTATGGCATGACTTTTATATAGAGGCAAGGAAAGAACTTCCCCTAGAGAAATGAATGAATGGATGAATGAATTATAAAGTATAGTGATAGACAAAATAATTTATGACTACACCTCTAGATGTTCCATTGTAAAGCAAATCATTAAGTTTTAAATTTGAATATACTGGTGTTTATTTTTTTAATTTTTGTGCCACACCCGGCAGTACTCAGGGCTTACTCTCTTTTTTTTTAAACTTTAAGTAAAATTATTTATTTATTTCGGAGAGCCCGGCAAGCTACCGAGAGTATTCGATATGCCAAACACAGTAACAACAAAGTCTCCAATGGAGACGTTACTGGGCCCACTCGAGCAAATCGACAATCAACGGAAGGGCCTTTACCTTTACCTTTACCTTTTTATTTATTTATATATTTATTTATTTATTTATTTTAATTGAATCACAGTGAGACACACAGTTACAAAGTTGTTCATATTGGGTTTCAGTCATACAATGTCATATAATGTTCCAACACCCATCCCTTCACAGCGTACATTTCCACCCATCAATGTTCCCAGTTTCCCTTCCCCTATGACAGGCACTTTTCTTCTCTGTCTCTCTGTCTCTGTCTCTGTCTCTCTGTCTCTGTCTCTCTCTCTCTCTCTCTCTCTGGTGGGACTCAGGAGACCATATGTGGTACCAAGCATTGAACCCTGGCTGACTGCTTACAGGTCAAGTTCCTTACCCACTGTACTATCTCTCCAACCCCTATACTTATCTCTTAACTGTTGGGCCAGAGTGGTCAATACCAAGACAGAGGAATACAAATAAGAAGCATTAAGAGTATTATTAGAGTTCTAGAAGACTAAAAGCTGCTCTCCCTAATACAATAAATATGTTAATATTCATTTCCATAAGGAGGAGGTACGGATAAGATAGCAGACAAATCTTATTGCCTAATATAATTATGAATGGCTAAGAATTGCAATTTTGAGGAGATAAAGCAAACTCACTGAAATTTTAATTGGATTTGCCTCCAGGTAGAAAGCAGCATAAGTCTAAATATTTTGTAGCAGTTGGAGCAATGCTTCTTATCTGTCAACTTTTCCATGATCCCTTCCCAGTCAGAGAAAAGAAAACGCAACCAAACAAGTCCGAATTGCTTTTCTGGGCCTCTGGCTCAC